TTCTTAATGTACTTTGCGCGGCCATAACATCTATGTATTTTCAAGACCATTGTAAAAAAATTGTATGCACTTATTTACGTAGTTCAACTCTCACTCACCTACCTACCCTCCTACTCCAGTACCTGGTACCCAGCACATGTATTCAGGTGCTATTTAATAGGTATCAGTGTACAAAATGATGGTGTTTAAAAAAAACGTGGTATATATTTTAAACAAAGAGAGATGAACGTTCAAAATGCAACGTTACTTATTTTTCCCACCCACTTCGTTGCCAGACGTATCTCGACTACTTTTTTTTGTGATTAAACACGTTTTAGTAAGTTTATTCAGATACAGGTACACATAAATAGTTACATAAATTATCATACATAGCAGCATATGTGTAGATTACTTAGGATAACCCAAAATACTCAAAGTGACTTTTTTCCATTGAAGTCCATATAATAACCTATTATTTAAACTGCTAGGAATAAGGGAAACTGAGTTATTTACATTAATATTAAAGAGAAGATCAGATCACAGCAATAGGTACATGTATGTTAAGCTTTACAAGAGATCACTCTCCTCCCTTTCTGTAGCTACATTAATTAGGTACCGTTTGGCTCTCTTCTTGAGCTGGTTCATGCTATGACAGGCTTATTTAAAATGCCCTAAGCATATTAAACGAGCGCACAACGAGGAAAACAACATTTAAGGGAAAACTAGAAAGACTTAAAGAATATACATTAAGCACAACATAAAACACTGAGAGTGTAAAATGAGACTGTGTTAGTGTTCCTCTCGTGGCCTCCAGCACAGGTCAACAAACACATGTGGGGCGCGTCACTCCCTCCAATCCCCGGACCCCCTGCCTAGCCACCAATAACTCACAACAACTAACATAAAGGAGTTAGGGGAGGCCTAGTGGCCCCATGCCTAGCAGCTACTGCTATTCTATACACAAACACTAACTCATGCAAGTGTTCAACACAGCCTGCAACCTTTAATGTATATGCATGTTCATCATGTTACCGAACCTTTCCTTCGTATTTTATCGTGTTCTTGAACCTTTCCTCTCTATTTATTCATCATGTGCTTGAACTATTTATGTATTTGTTCATCATGTGCTTAAATCTTTACTGTGTATTTGTTCATGTGTTAGAACATCTACTGTGTATTTGTTCATGTGTTAGAACCTTTACTGTGTATTTGTTCATGTGTTAGAACCTTTACTGTGTATTTGTTCATGTGTTAGAACCTTTACTGTGTATTTGTTCATGTGTTAGAACCTTTACTGTTTATTTCTTTAATTAATGCTGAAAACTTGAGCGTATTTGTCCAAGTAGCTTAAAAACTTAAGTGTATCTGCGTCAATAAGTTTTCTCCAGTTTGAAAACCATGGCTTTGAAATGCAGTTTTAGTTGTTTTCAGAACAGTATAGAAACTGTTCCTTGGTTGATATTTTAAGAACCGTATAGAAATTGATCTCTGGTTGATATTTTAAGAACCGTATAGAAATTGATCTCTGGTTGATATTTTAAGAACCGTATAGAAATTGATCTCTGGTTGATATTTTAAGAACCGTATAGAAATTAATCTCTGGTTGATATTTTAAAAACCGTATAGAAATTCTACCAATCTATTTATCCACAAAACTTCTGACTGCTCAGGAGAATGGAAGAGAAGGATCAGGAGTAAATTGATGATCTCCCCAAACTCCTCTTACTTTTTCCAATAAGAGAGGACAAGAAAGAGCAGCGGAGAAAACGAAGAGGACAAAAAAGTCATCTTTTCTTACTCCTAATTAGAGAAAGAGACAAAGAGGAATAAGTAGGAAGGGATGGCCTTCTTCTCTAACTCCTGGTAAAAGCAGGGGATAAATAAGGGGAATAAGGAGGAGGAGGAGGAGGAGGAGAAGCAACAAGAGTAATAGCAGTAGTAGCAGGAGGAGTAACAACAGCAGCAGCAGGAGCTTCCCCACCTCACAACCACAACACATCTCAGCTTACAAAACCAATCCAGTGGCCGTGGGAAAGCCCTTGCTCTCTGGTCTGAAAATATATAACAACAAACTTAAATCCAAAAACAGGTTTCCTGATTTTCTGACAAGTAGATGCCAGCTAACGTTGTGGCAGATCTTGTTTCTTTTCCCAAAACTATTAAAACCTTCACCATTGTTATTGTTTTGTAACAGAGATGTATAATAATAACAAGACAGAATAAGTAGAAGAAACAGAAAACTGTGGGTTAATAACCAAGGATAACTCAAGAAAGCGTCTTGCCTTATTCGGCAAGAACGTTGCTATTTAAACCAAAATGACAAGTCATATATACTAGGATGTACTTTATATATATATATATATATATATATATATATATATATATATATATATATATATATATATATATATATATATATATATATATATATATATATATAAAGTACACTCCTAGTATATTCTTGGAGTGATGGGCAGTTGTTGGGTGGCTAGGAGTGACCTCCTCTGTGACCCTTGACCTGACTTGCCTTCACCTCACTCCTCCCTGTCTGGGGTCAAGCCCTAATTTCGGACGGGTACCTGTCACTGCAAATGGTTGTAGGTGGTAGTGTTAGTGGTAGTAGTAGTAGTAGTTACTGGTGGTAGTAGTGTTAGTGGTGGTAGTAGTGTTAGTGGTGGTAGTAGTGTTAGTGGTGGTAGTAGTGTTAGTGGTGGTAGTAGTAGTGTTAGTGGTGGTAGTAGTGTTAGTGGTGGTAGTAGTGTTAGTGGTGGTAGTTAGTGGAGGTAGCAATTAGTGGTGGTAGTAGTTAGTGGTGGTAGTCTCCCATGCATCACCACCACCATCTTGGTTATCATCACTACACACACAAGAGAGGGCTGGTGTAGCAATATAGTTGTGGACGAGTGGCACAGACTACCAAGTAGCCTTAATGTAGCCAGAACCTTGGGTAACTTTAAAACCAGATTGGACAGGTACACGAGTATGCTTAAGCGTGTGTAAAACCTGCCAAGCATGGGCCAGTAGGCCTACTGCTCAACTACTCTTATGCTGTCACTGGAAAGTGTATTCTATAACATATGTTGGTAATAAGGATGGACGAGGGCCCTGGTGGGTACCCACTGAGGTGATGGTTGGGTTACGCCCTTCCACCACAAGCTTAATGCTCTGTCGAAACAATAATTTTTTCCCATAAACGTGTTTATTTTAACCTAATTTTATGGGTAAATGTCCTAAACTGTAGTCAGTGTCGTAAATCTTAGTTAAAAATGTACCAACACAAGCGGCCCCCTGAAACCCTCTACCCCTTTTAAGCCAGAAATTCTATCAGTCCGACCCATAAGATGTGTAACATGAACCTTTCTGAAAGCTATCGTTCGCCAGCAGGGGGCAGGTGTTGGAAGAGCCCAGTGCTGCCCGCTCCACACATGGTGCCCAAATTCCAGAGTCCTGGGAACGAGGATCTCAGCGTCTTTCTCACGGTGCCCCGGGCAGCCTGCCGCAACCCACCACCCAAACTTTCTTACATATTCATATTTATTAACGCAAACATATTGTGTAGTCTTAGTGCATCAAGAAGCGTTTACTAGTAAACACTACACTATATGAGCCCTTACAATTTCATAAACATGTACAGGTTGGTTTAAAAATGTGTGTTTAGGAGAATTCTGGTGATGTGGTCTGGCAGCGGTGTTCGCTGCCCGCGGCGCAGCTCGTGTCGCGCACACACCTGCCACGAGGCATCACGTGCCCGTGACGTCACTGCACGCTCGGGTATATAAAGTCGCGCGGCTGAATTTCGGGTAGCATACTCATTCCAACTTCTGAGACGTAGGGATCACCCGCACTCTCTCTCTCCATCATGGCTGTCACTGGTAACAAGAAGAATTCAGTCTTCAGCATCCATAGCCTGAAGAAAGCCATTAAGAAGCTTATCAAGAAGACCCTCCCTACGAAGGTGGAGAAGAAGGTCAAGGACGATAAGACTGAATACTGTGTTGACTTCGAGGCCGAGATCGAGGACAACCTAGCCAATGAAGCGCTTGAAGCCCGCCTGATTCAGATCATTGAAGCCTCGCCTGCTGCCCTCGACCTCAACTTAAGCCTGAAAGGGTTGCTGATGGTGAAGACTTCCCCCGAGCTCGTGCAGTTCGGAACCTTCTGGACCAACGACGATGACGAAGAGAGTTGGGCCATGTACAAGGACCTCCTGCAGACATCGCCAGGTACCCGTTCAGCTAACACCAGGACGTAGGTGCCCTCTCGTCTACCCTGGACCCTCCTGTGACGCCAACACCCTATGATAAGGGTCTCCTGTGCCGTGATACTTCAGTGCCAACACCAATGCCGCCTTCGTCAGCTCCCGCTGCAGAAGGAATCTCGAAGAGGTTCTATGGTCTGCAGTTGTTGATGCTCCTACAATGCCTGAGGTGGCAACAGAAGCTGTGATATTGTGAGCGTCTTCAGTAAGAGATCGTTCATGCCTGGGTGGTACCAGCCATCTTCGTGTAGGGTGGTGGGCCCAGTCAGCTGTGATACGGGGAAGATTTCACCCAATGTCTGTGATACTACTTTTAACAATTTATTTATTGAATAAAATGATTTAATCTGATGATGTATTTCTTTTTCCCCCTTTTATTAGGTACAATAAATACACACTTATAGTCATGAAACAAATAATAAAGGTATATAGAAACTGAGTTAAAACATGGTAAGGTAACACTAAAAAACTGATATTTAGGCATAAACTATTTATGAATGATACAAGTTTTTATAATACGAAAGGTAAAAGAATTATGCATGCAACCTGAGTAAAAAAACAATGATAAAAGAGGAAATGTTTAATTCAGAAAACGAGCTAACCTATACGGAAAAATAGAGACCGGTCTGGTAACAAGGCGTTCGTGGTGGTGGTTGCTATGGCAACCAGCACGTGTAAACACACTTACATGGCCAGAGACGCTTCTATCTCGTCGCTGACATTTTCACTCGCACTTTTTACAAGCATGTGTATGTAGCATCGATGAAACACTTTATATTATTCTGAAGAGAAAGAAAATAGTTAAATATCCTAGACGGAAACAGTACCTAAACACCCCAATCCGTAGGGAAGCATCTTGGGATAGGCCATCCTGAGGGCTGCCAACTCCTAATACAAACTCCAGCTCTGTTGGAGAGAAACGTTTGAAGCTCCCGCAGCTGCTGAACCTTATACTGCCATACTTGACGATAGCCTCATTGCCTTACTGAAGTCTCCCAGCTCAAGCAGACAGATTTCAATACTATCAAATCCATCCCGTTTAATGGAATATGACAGGGAGAGACAGCAAGCTTTTGTTCCTACTATACAACTATCATAGAGTAGTGCTGCATCACATTGCTGATGTATCCAACTTTGGTAAATAAAAATAAGGGCACCTCCATGAGGCTGCTGCTTCCCTCCTGAGTTCATTCAGGTAGTCTCAGGTTTTTAAGGTGCCGTGTTAGGGGCTGATTATTACCTCTTCTGCTGTCTTTATATATCCTCTTTGCATCGAATGGAAAAGGCCAAACAAAACATCTAGAGAAACGTCTTTAAATAAAGATACCCAGGTGTTTCACCTATGTACAATCAGTTCATCGAAAGAGTTTGTTCCTACAAATACTATCACGAAATAATAATAATAATAATAATAATAATAATAATAATATAACGATGAACATGACGGAGAGAAGACATGACCACACTCTCATCTCTTAAAATAACCAAATGAAAAGGCCTACTGGCCTATGTGGGGCATTTCCAGTTTGTATCTGCTGAGCTATAATGGCAGAGAGGCACAAACTGCCAAGCAGTGTCTTTAATTAAAATAAATACTGTGGAGAGCTTTAAAAAATAAATATGACAACTATACCATTGAAAAAGGTTTCGTGTAGCATCAGCCTACTCGCGAAACCAGCAGGGCCCCACTTGTGGGCCCTAGGTAAATCATTTGTACAAAAAACGATAGCTTAAAGGGAAAACCGAAAAGGGCCCTAAAGTCGGTCCAATGAGCCGGGGCCGTGGTGCATACTTTTGCACTACACGGGGGCACCATAGCCGATCATCGGGCCACAACCAGGCCCCGCGGGCCCGGGGCGGCGGGGCGGGATTTCCAAAAAACTCAGGAAACCTCTCCCTATGGGTGCGGTATATAAAGAACACAAAACAGGTATTCCATGAATAAATCAATTTGGCTTTTTTTCATTCAAGAACGTCTCACACCATATACACTTAATTAAAACTTGTACTTTATGCAAAGATTGCAGACAATCCATACAGCATGTGACAAACAACAGTTTTGTAGATGGATGTTCAGAGAACCGAATGTTAAAATTAGACACATTTGCAACTTTGGGTATCTTTTTTTGAGGAAAGTTTCGCCCCCTGAGAAGCCACTTGGGCAAACTTTCCTCAAAAAAGATACCCAAGAGTTCACATGTGCTAATTTACAACAAACAACAGTAAAGCGACCTCTAAAGCATACATCAATGCATACGTGTTTAGGGGATGTATACTTATATATTAACCAAACAGATGAATTTTTAAATAGAACAAACACCAAAACCAATGTTTCCCCAAAAAAAGACCGGCCATAAAATTATGGACATTTATACTTTGTGAAAAGATCCGATTTGCAATATTTTTGACACGCCACCTGGGGAAACCCAATTGTATCCACGACATCGGACTAACTTAATTCTCAGTGAACAAAATAACAGAGAACGATTTTGTTAAGAGCCGTGACGACAGACATAATCTTTTAAACTAAACCAGGTAAGTTTTTATTGCAACACTGATTATAACTTCCAAGTAATACATCATTAGGAGAATACTTTATCAGCTTTTTAAACCCCAGAGGTTTAATAACCCGGGAAAAACCTTTTCAAATTAAAATTAGATTCAGGAACAAAACCCCCATAAGGCCTCTCCCTCTCTATGCCCACGTTCAACCATTTTTCTTACACAAGTTAAATTTTTTGTTTTTTTTTTCTCCTTTTAAGTCACTTTTTTTTTATTTTTTCGGGGGGACTATAGTGGCTTGGGCAGCTTGCACAACTATTGGAAAATAGCACAGTGGCAATCTCTGTATTAATGTTTAACGTCCCACGTCACTGCTCAGCCATTCACAAGTCTCCAGCACTCTAAAATTCCCAAAACCCCCACTCCTTCATTTTCCTTACTACCCCCCACTTCCACCCCCCCAAACCATCTCACACCGTCTCAAATAAAACAGATTCAACACCCCATTCAATTTGCCAATAACCCCCCAATAACAACTATCATATCCCCCACCCAGCTATTTCCCCCCACAATCTGGGTATTCGCGCATGAAAAATTAGAACAAATTTTCCTGTAGGAAAAAAAGGCGGGGTGCGGTTACCCTAACCACCCCCAGGTAGGGGCCTCAGGTCCCTGAAAACCGCCCCAAACGACCATAAAGTGAGAGGGGAGAAGGGAACCCGAAAGTGAAGTGAGCGGGAGAGGGGGGGCGTCATCGAGGGGAGGAAAAAGAAAAATTTTAAATTGGGGGACGGAGAAAAAAAAGGGAGGGACGAAAAAAAGTGTGAAGGGGGGGAAGGGGAAAATCAATGGGGGAGATAAAACTCAGACTGGGAGGGTGTGAGAGGAAAGGGTCATGTGTAATGGAGAAAAATACGGGAATCGTATCAAAAGAAGTAAAACACATGACCTTTCATTTTCCTCACTTTTAACATAGTTTAAACAAGGATTGAGTTCCTTACACCTACTCCCATGTTCCCCTACAGTAATAGGTACTTGGGTGTTAGCGACTGTTTCGGGTCCCCACCCCTGGGGGGGAATAGTTTTTTTTAACAGGGCTGGATTTAAAATAAGCTGAGGCAGGATAAGGGCTCTCAGCCTGAAAAACTGTCTGTGATACAAAACCTTTTCCCCATATTTCCACAAACTGTTGACTCGTTTGGAACGCAGGGGGGAAAAATAACAAATCTACACTTGGAAACTTGGAAGGGAAACTGCCCAAATCCACACAGAAATCACTCCCAAAGTAAAAGACGGCAGGGGATGCAAAAGCCGCCCAAAAAAAGTAGGGCGCCATTGGTACACTAAAAAAAACACCAAAATTCCGGGGCCCAAAACTGTTCACAGCCCCCTCAAGCATTTGAGGGAATTTCCAATAAGCCCCTGGCTGCCTTTAAAAGACTGGACAGATACCTAAAATCGGGCCCATCACCGGGGGTGGCTCGACTTGGGCCGTGCGGGCCCCAGTAAAAAAGCCTATTGATCAGCCCGATCCATCGGGGGCCTGGTCATGGGCCGGGGCCGGGGGGGTTTATCCCCGGGTAACCTCCAGGTAACCTCCAGTGGTAAAAAAGACAGAAGGAAAAGACCGAACCGAAGACTCCTTCAGGGCACCCGAGATTATGGGGGCCACCCAATCAGGGAGAAAGGGTACGTAGAGTAACCTGGAAGGTTTCGGGGTCAAAAGCCCCCCGGCTCGTCTGAGACCAACCTCGTGGGGTATCACTAATACATTTCAATTTTAATTAAATTTTATTGTAAAGATCCAGTAAAAAATAAGGATTTCATCTATTAAAACTTTAAAAAAGATCCTATAAAAAAAGGTTTTTAAAAAAAACCATAATTTTTAAAAGGGGGACCGGAAACCAACGGAAAGGGCCGGTCAAGACCAAAAAGCTCCGGGCGAGTCACATATGGCAGGAAACACTTTTCCCCTTTCCCACAAACCCTTTCCTAACCTAACCTATGATCCGGAAAATTTTTTTAAACCCACACAAGGTAAATTTTCTTCCGACATTATATGAAGGGGGGGCCCCGTCCCGACCTGTGTGAGCCTCTTAGTGTTTTTCTGAAACGTTCAGCGACTAAAACATCCGCAGGGGTTTTTAAGAAAAAAATTGGAAATGTTTAGGACAAAACATGAAATTTTTAGGAAAAACATTGTGTAAGTAAGTTTATTCAGGGATACACGACAAGATTTTCTACATAGAAACATTGTAGAGAACCGGGGGGTAACCCCAAAGAAATCACTGACTTATTTCCACTGGGGGCCGAAATATCTTTTTATTAACTATAAAGAAGAAATATCTTTTTATTAACTATAAAGAAGATAAACCTTATTTTTATACTAAAAGAAAATCTTATTATTATACTATAAAGAAGAAATACTTTTTTATTATACTTAAAAAAAGGGAAAAATCTTATTATTTACTTAAAAAGATAAAATCTTATTATTATACTATAAAGAAGATAAATCTTATTATATACATAAAGAAAGATAAAACTTATTATTATACTTAAAAAAAAATCTTATTATTTTACTATAAAGAAGATAAAACTTATTTTATACTATAAAAAAAGATAATATCTTTTTATTAAAATATAAAGAAAAAATATCTTTTTATTATACTATAAAGAAAAATATCTTATTATTTTAAATATAAAAAAGATAAATCTTTTATTATTATAAAGAAGATAATATCTTATTATTAACTAAAAGAAGAAATACCCCATTTTTAACTAAAAGAAAAATATCTTATTAATAAATATAAAGAAGATAAAACTTTTTATTTAAAATTAAAAAGGGGGGT